ATTCGACTGCAACAGAAAAAAGATATAAAGGAGGAATGCTGTGTTTATGAAAGCTTTACCTGTGTGTATCTGGACAAGCTGAGAAGTTTGGCAGAGGGTCAGTGTTGTGTCTCTATTTGGATATAGAGAGGGAATAGTGGCACTGTACAGGTTCAGACATGAAAATGTCAACAAAAGAAGCTGTGCTCTTTCCTCTACAGAGGAAACGTATGTGATTTACACAGACACACACATATAATGTGTCACAATACATGCATAAGTGGGATGTTGATACGATAAACTTGAGTCACAACAGAGTAACACACCGGTAACAAACATTTTAAAGGAACACTCCATTTATTTAGAAAATAGACATAGCATCTCAGCAAGTTCCTTGATTATTATACCAGAATGAAAATTTAGTTCTTAGCCAGATCAGCTAAGAAAATCACAACTATTAATCTTCTGTTGGTCTTAGTAAAATTATTGAAACTCTTTGGTCATTTTAAAGCAAGATTGTAAAGCCAGATGCTAATAGTCTAATATGATTCAATGATTTACGCTAAGTTAAGCTAAAAGTGTCCCTTTCAGATCAAGAGATCAGCTAATGTAATAAAAATGGTTAATCTTAACTGTTTAATTCTTGGGGACTTGTAAAATGAGCCATTCATTTACCAAAAAAAGGTGAGTGTTCCTTTAAGATCCTTGAAGATGTTCTATGTGGCCATTCACAGTCTGCAGATTTTCAGAATATACTTTCCTCAAAGAAAATTCCTCCAACACAAACAACTTCTGAGAAATTTAACCAGCTACAATATTCAGTAAAGTAGAGCCATGTTTAAAATAATTAATGTTCATGGCAGGCGTTGGGTTAATACTTCTAACTAGGTCTGCACAATATAACGTTTCAGCATCGAAATCGCAATTTGCAAATCTGCAATGGTCACATCGCAGGGCCTGCAATGTCATGTTGAGATTAATAAAACCTGTTTTAATAGGTTCAAATACCATGAAAAACTTTGATTTTAATGTCTTTTTAAACCAGTGACTAATACTTCAAGTAAATTTAAACCTTTTGGACACAAAAAATTCTTTAACAAATAGTAATTGTTTAATTACTTATACAATAAAGACTACAGTGTTAATTTAAATCTGATTATTGAGTTTCTGAAGCTCAATGCTGTTCGAAACTGAAAACTATTAAATGATGTTTATTTCATATTTAGAAAATTCACCCGGAGTTTGATCTTATCCATCCTTGACACTTTCACCATCCTGCGTTCTGGCACGATACTTCACGACAAACAAAGAAACTCTAGTGCCAATTTTGCTCACAACGTGCCTCAATAATAAAACCAGAAATGGTTTAGACATAGGGCTGGGCCGATAAACAATATTATATCGAATCGCGATAAAATCTGTCAATAACAATGATAAACTCTGGAATTTACTCTATACTGATCCAAGAGCCAATCACACAGCAGAAATGTGCAACAATAGGAAAAGTATGTTGATATTAGGGATACACCAAATTTTTGGCTGCCAAAAATGTATCGGCCACCGAAAATAGGTCATGCTATTTAAAGGAGCTTATAATTTGTAGCTTCAGTCATTGTTGGGATACTCTTTTAAATCTGGAAGAATTAACAACTGTTATTTAAATATATATTGTTATTGTTCAATACGGAAAAGAATTTATCAAGACTGCATTATTTCCATGTCACCCAGCCCTATTTATACATTTCCCCGCGCTGGTTTTAAGTTCACTTTAAGTAGTTGCTCGATTGGGTCATTCAATTTGGCACTCCTACTGGTTCTTGGACTGATGCTTATCGCAGCTGCAGGAAAGTGTCTGAATTTTTTGGACACTGGCAGAACTTCATCTGAGGGAACATCTGATGGCAATGGCCATTAAGTGGATTCCGAAAAACATGTCAAACCAACGATTAAAGATCACAGATTTTAGCCAAGGTTTACTTCCGACTGTTATTTGCAATTTCAATTAATTATTTCGTGTTGCATGTGTCTTTTGCACAGAATAGCCACCGACATGCATTGTGTGACTTTAATTCTCTAAGGAAAGTCACCTACTTTTTAGATGGCCTAAGGATGAACTGAACAGAAAAATGTTATTTTGGGTGTAATTTAACCATTTAATAAATGCTGTAGAATAATTATTCATTGCAATTTCATGAAAACTTGTATCAACAAATTTTTGAAAAACAGAACTTTAAAGTAAAAAGTCACCAAAACTATGACTTTAGCTGTTATAATGGAATTCAATGTAGTTAACAATAAGTGAACAACACATTTTCAAAGGGCCGAAACAGCTAATGATGCATTCCATTGTTTGTGTTGGATGTGGAAAAATACAATTGGCATCCGCTCTTTGAAGCCAGAGAACATTTTTGGCACACCTGATTTGACAGTTACTCAGTAGGAAACTTCAGATCCACCCTTATTACTTAAGTCCATAAAAAGGTCAGAAAACATGTTACTTGACATGAAATGAGTTTCCAGACTTTCACCACCATAGTGCCAGGCAATTAATGTCATTTTGTAATTCTGGCCTAGTCCACTTTAGTAAAACAAGCTGAAACAAACTGTGTGCTCAGCTTTCGCTTGCTCAAACTGCAGAGCATTGCAAAACAGTTAGAGTTAACAAGCATTTTCATGTCACAAATGTTTGTTTTCATTGTAGTAATATTAGCTCTGGTAATTACTTGTGAATACCAACTTCTGTAAACTGAAATGAAATAGTTTGGTACTATTTTGTAGAGCTGACTCCAGTACAACATCATACTAATTTGTCAATACAGGCCATTTCACACTCTTTGCTGTTCTAAACCATACTTATAATGTAAAAAAAAATGTTATTTAGGGTAACGCATTACTAAAAAAATTAAATGCACAGCTAGTACCATTTCAAATCTAAGATTTGCCCTGTACCCTGGACTACAGTGCCACAAACCAATGAGGTGTTCAAATGTTAAAGGGCCATGAAACCCCCTCGTTTCAGCAGGGTGTTTTCACACCTCTACTTTGGAAAAAGTCAGGAAAAGTGGGCGTGTCCAGCTCTGTTTAGGGGGGAGTGTCGGAGGAAGAAAAGCGGCTTGGTATGGGAGTGTCTATTTGGGCGCGCTGAATTTCAGAGTCAAAACACACACCCACAGCGGACAATGTGACTGTGTTTACATGGACATCTGTAGTCGAATTATTTGCCAAATTATTAAATAGTGTACTTTAACTGCAGTTTGGCTCTTTCATTCAGGGAATTCATTCATGTCCCTCCCGACAAACGTGATATTTGATTCGAGGCGCTGCTCTAAGCGTGTATTTTTCATGCAATGTTTGATACCGCACGGCGAATGAGAGAAAAAAAAACTCAGCATTTCCCGGAAACTTAGATACACACGGCAGGTAGCGTCAGAAAGCCGCGTGTGTTATTCCGGTCACAAAATCCAACACGAGGTTATAGTTTGGTTGTAACTGTTAGTGCTAACTTGTTTACACTCGGTGCAATAGTTTGTTTGATACGAATAAAATACGAACTGCATAAACAAAGAGCACTGGTCGCTCACTTACCATATCTGTAGAGACAGGACAATCACCAGCAACTCGAGCCGCGTCTTTATTTAGAGGAGACTACAAGCGAATCTGGATCTCAGCGTTTGCAGATGAGAACAGCTCTCAGGTAAACAATAATCCTCCTTAGACACGTAAGTTATTGTTGTCGAGCGTCGCGTACACTGTTAATCCACGCGTGACTCCAGCTGCGCTCTCACAGAGAGAAAATGAAAACGAAACTTAACTGCAGCAAACTATAAAAGCAACAAATTTTGACATTATGATATTTAGGTTTTTTTTACGATATACATATAGCAATATGAATACAATTTCATCAGATGGTTTGAATAGCTCATAATTTAGATTGGGGTGAATTT